CACTCATTTTTTATTCACTAAAATTTGCAACAATTGGTTTTGAGCCTTTATGAGGTTTTGAGTCATATTTTGCAAATCCTGCCTTCTCTAGAGCATGAGCAATATCACAAAAGGGTACACTTGATTCTAGACCTTTTATTACTACTTGCAGTCCTTTGCTGCTTTGGAGCTGGTACTTATAGAAGTTTTTCTTATCGTCATTAAGGTGTTTGGTTACCAACCGGTAATTTTCTTCAGTTAGAATCTGAAGTTTGGTCTCTTTAATGTTGCCCTTGGTAATTGACGTTACGTGGAACGTATTGTCTCCAATAAGCTGAATTAATTTATTCACGAGCTCATTACAGTTTTGCTCTCGTAAATAAATTAGGGGCCGTTTGAGTTTGGCTTTGGAAACTTCATTCGGCTCTTTGTCACATTCATTGTCCAGAATCGCGCAAACTTATTTGCCAGTAGAGGGTTAATGTCAGTGGTTTTCGTTTTTGCAATTTTTGACGGATTTGCATATTTTTGCTGTTGTGGGCTTAATTTTCGTTTGACTTGGATGTACCTATCAACACCCATTTGAGTCAATGTACGGGTTGTTGGATTAAGTAGGTCAACTTGCGCTGCGCTGCGTTGCTTGGCTTGGACTGGTGCCGATATTCCCGTTATATACATTCTAAATAAGCGCCTTACCCCAGTTGAGAAGCTGTATCACCTCCGGCAAAAAACTCAGGGGGGAGGCCAAGGAAATAGTGCAGAGATCCCCATTAACCAACGATGGCTTTGGTGCGGCCTGGAAAAATCTTTGTGACAGGTACGAAAATAAACGTATCCTGGTCAATGCCCAATTAAAGGTATTACTTAATTTAAACGCAGTTGAGAGTGAATGCGGTAGCTCCATCAAGAAACTGCAACGCGACATAAATAATTGCATCTCGTCGCTTCAGTGTCATCAGATTGATGTTTCAAATTGGGATGCAATATTCACATATTTGTGTTCGACAAAACTGCCAGAAACGACACTGGCACTTTGGGAGCAAACCATAGAAAATAAAACTGAGATTTCCAAATGGGTAGATATGGATAAATTCCTATCCAATCGGTTTCAAACACTGGAAACCGTGACAGGTCTTAAGGGAGATATCGTTTCGAAACCTAAACCACCAAGCTCTCGGAATTCTGCAGAGACGCCTGCAAAACAGCTTGGCGCCTTTCAAGTTAGTGTAGCAAAGGCAACATGTAAAATGTGCAACAGCAATGTACACAAGCTATCAAAGTGCGACAGATTTTTGCGTCTAAAGCCGACGGAGCGAGTAGATTACGTGAAGAGCATTCGCAGTTGCTTGAATTGTTTATCTGCTGGGCGCACAGTCTCAAGATGTACCAGCTCATTTAACTGCAGCACTTGTCATTCGAGACATCACAAGTTGCTCCATATGCCAATTCAGCCAAAAGCGACAACTGATCCATCGGGTAGCGTGGAATCTACTCCAAACCAGGCTCAATCAAGACGCGAATCTGAAAAAGGAAGCATAAAATCGGTTAAAAATGTAAATTCTTGTTACGCAAATACAAGTAAAGGAGTTTTGTTAGGAACAGCACGCGTAAACATACACTATAATGGTATACATTTTTTCGGCTAGAGCGCTTATAGATTCTGGTTCTGAGTGCTCGTTCATTACTGAGAGACTCAAACGGAGAATCAACCTGCCATCAAAACGCTTGCATGCCCAAGTTTCGGGCATCAATAACTCTATATCTGCGCAGGTAAAAGAAGCGTGTGCTATTCAACTTCGGTCACCCACAGACCCGTTAATTAATATAGAAGCAATTGTGCTGGTTTTACCACAATTAACCGGGGATCTTCCGACTTGTCAGATAAGCGCAATGACGCGGCAATCGTTCCCAGATTTGGTCTTGGCGGACAAAAGATTCTTCGTCAATGAGCCAGTTGACCTGGTCTTAGGAGGAGATATTTACCCGCAAATAATTTTAAGCGGAATGAGGAAGAATGTATTAAATACGCTTCTCGCGCAAGAGACCGTGTTCGGTTGGATACTGACTGGTCGCGCGGACTCAGTCAGTCCAACTAACAATATCGTATCGTATTTTAACGAAGTCACGTTGGACAAGCAGCTAGCTGCATTTTGGGAGCTGGAGGATGTCTCAAAGAAAAAAGGCATCAACGAAGATGATAAATACTGCGAAGAGCTCTTCAAAGCAACTACAACACGAAATACCGATGGAAAATACATTGTGTCTCTACCTTTTAAACGGGATTTTCCGAAAAATGTGTGCTTAGGACCTTCGCTGAAAAGTGCATGCTCTCAGTTCTACCGGAACGAGACGCGACTAGCGAAAAAGCCTGTCCTTCAAACAGAGTACAACCGGGTTGTATCTGAATACGAGACACTAGCACATATGTCAAAAATTAACAAAAACATTTCACCAGATTCAACGGACTGCTATTTTTTACCGCACCACGCCGTTTTAAAGGAAGAAAGTACCACTACAAAGGTCAGGGTTGTATTCAACGCATCATGCCCAACCGCTAATGGCATGAGTTTGAATGATGTCCTCCTTCCAGGTCCTGTACTTCAGGCCGATTTAACTATCCTCATACTCCGTTGGAGACTGTTCCAATATGTCTTCAACAGCGATATAGAGAAAATGTATCGGCAAATATTTGTAAATGAGAATCAAACGAAATATCAGCGCATAGTTTTTCGCACCTGCCCAAGAGAACCAATTAGCTTATACGAATTAAAACCGGTGACTTTTGGCATCAATTGTGCTCCTTATCTCGCGATAAGGACATTGCATGAACTAGCTGATAGTGTCGTGAGCTCGTTTCCAATCGCATCCGAAATTTTGCGCAAGTGTATGTACGTGGATGACGTACTTGCTGGAGGACACAGCATCGAAGCAGCGATTAAAGCTAGAGAAGAAATACTACAGGTACTGGATTCAGCAGGGTTCCCGTTAAGAAAGTGGACTTCGAACTCCAGTAAAATACTTGAAGGTATACCGAAATCTCATTTACTCACCGACGATTTTCTAGAGTTTGAAGAGTCTAGTACGGTAAAAGCACTTGGCATCAGATGGAATGCCAAATCTGACTACTTCTATTTCACAGCAAAACCAATAGAAAATCGTGACGTCATCACTAACAGAGCGATACTTTCAGCTATCGCCAAACTGTTTGACCCGCTCGGTTGGCTCGCTCCAGTGGTAATTGTCGCCAAGATCATTATGCAAAATATTTGGTTGGAGGGAACTGGTTGGACGATACCGTGTCTCCGACCACATTAGACCGTTGGCAGGCATTTATGCACGACTACATGGACATTAATACCATTCGCATACCAAGATGGGCTCACTTTACGCAAACAGATGACGCCGAAATACATGGATTAAGCGACGCTTCGGAGAAAGCATACGCGGCGACTGTTTTCTTGAGAGTTAAGACTGCGGAAAGAGTTGTGGTCAGCCTTCTAATGGCAAAAACAAAGGTAGCGCCCGTCAAAACAGTATCGTTACCCCGTTTAGAACTTTGCGGCGCAGTTTTGCTTTCGGAAACCGTAGAAGCGGTCGTCGAAAATCTGAGTCTTGGACATTTGAAAATAAATCTCTGGACAGATTCGACAATAGTCCTCGCATGGATCCGGAAATAACCGTGTTCGTGGTCAACTTTCGTTGCTCACCGAAAAACAAAAATTGTAGACAAGGTGGGAACCGAAAACTGGCGTAATGTGGATTCGGCATCAAACCCAGCAGATCTGGCGAGTAGAGGACTTTCGGCGAGTGATCTAGTCAACAACTCCTTGTGGTGGCAGGGTCCTTCTTGGTTACAAGAAAAATATTTGAGATGGCCAGCACAAGAATCGGACTTTGACACCCCCATTGAAGAAAAAAGGGTGCATGTTCATGCAACAACAAAAGTAAAAGACTTTCACGACATTCTCGATCGATTTTCTGATTTATCACGGGCTTTGAGAGTTATATCTTATATTATGAGATTCTATCAAAGAATCAATCCCAAAACGAAATATTCCTTTAAAGCGGAGTCTCGTTCAATTTCGGCCAACGAAATTAAAACAACGACCCAACGCTTAATAACAATTTGTCAAAAACAATATTACAGCGAAGAATATACAAGGTTAAAATCTGGAAAATCCATCGACGGAAAAAGTGAAATCCTGCCTCTTAACCCGTTCATCGACAAAGATGAGATTCTGAGGGCTGGTGGTCGTCTGAGCGCATCTAGCGATCTGTCCTACAATGAACGTCATCATATCATTCTTCCGTATGGTTGTAGGATGTTCCGTCTCTTGGTCCAGTTTATCCATAAAATTTCCGTGCACGGAGAAAACCAGCTGATGCTGCGACTTATCCGATCGCTATATTGGATTCCCAGAGTGAAAAACTTGATACGGTTCGTCATACATAACTGCAAGGTCTGCACGATCCACAAGAAACGGTCGCAAACTCAACTTATGGGAATCCTTCCCAAAGAACGCACAACCTTTTCCCGTGCATTCACAAACACGGGGGTGGATTTCGCGGGCCCGTTCGACATCAAGTCCTACCGGGGCAGAGGATGTCGCATGTCAAAAGGCTACGTCTGTCTCTTCGTCTGTTTCTCGACGAAAGCCATTCACCTTGAAGCTACCAGCGACCTTAGCACCGAGTCCTTTCTAGCCGCTTTCGCAAGATTCGTTGCTAGACGGGGATGTCCAAAAAACGTTTACTCCGACTATGGTACTAACTTTGTCGGAGCCTCACGATCTTTACGATCGGAATTCAAAGCATTTTTAGCTGAGGCACGCAATAGCACCCTCACTAAGTACAGCCATCAAGCCTTAGAGTGGCATTTCATACCCGCTGCGGCTCCTCACATGGGCGGTTTGTGGGAAGCTGGGGTGAAAAGTTTCAAAACCCACTTTAAAAAGGTCGCGTCCGACCACATATATACTTTTGAAGAGTTCACCACACTCTTATGCCGTATTGAGTCTTGTCTCAACTCACGACCACTAAGCCCCTCTTCAAACGAACCATCTGACCTGGAGCCGCTTACCCCCGGTCATTTTCTGGTCGGCGGGCATCTTCTTGCCCCACCCGAAATCGATGTAAATGAAAGTCCAGCCTCAATCGTAAATCGATGGCAGAAACTGAAGGCCCTACACCAGACATTCTGTAGGAGATGGAAAATGGAATACCTCACCGAGATGCAGAAACGCAACAAGTGGAAACATCCACAAACCAACTTAAAGCTAGGAGACCTTGTCGTCGTTAAAGAGGAAAACCTGCCAACAAACGAATGGAGATTGGGGAGAATAGTCAAGCTACACCCAGGTTCCGACAACCGAGTAAGAGTAGTCGACATCGAAACAGCTAAGAGGGAAATCAGAAGGCCAATCGCAAAATTGGTCCTACTTCCGCCCTACAATGAGAACAGCACAACCTCGCAGTAAACTTCTTACCTACTCTTCATTCCACTTCACAAAAGAAACCCACCTATTCCACTTCTCTTCACCCTGCATCATCCCAAATCTCAAATCATCGCATTAACAAAAAAAACCGATTTAATTCGAGATATATATTTCTTTCAAGTATTTATATCTCTGTCCTTATAGCGCACTCGATGAGGCCGTATTCAAAAGTAAACATACATAGTTTTTATTTTAAAGCTTTTAATTAGTTATATATGTATATAATGTTTCGTTTTTTTTTAAGAGCGCACATACGCATGCTCAATTGAGGCTTTCACTGTAAATTTCAATGTTTACAATACAACACCTTCTAAATGTATAATTATGAATATTTTTCTTGTTTCACATTTTTATAAGAGTTGCAGAGCATTTACATAGGTTTTAATTTTCGCACGCACATTGTTTACTGTTCGAGTATAAGCGATCAATGAATTTTATCCATTAACCAAGTTTTAAAAGTAATAGAACACGTGGGCACTGTTCCATACTTTTACAAAAAGTTATGAAAAATTTTAAATGCAGCAGGCAAAAGAATTACAAAACTTATGTATATTCACAAATACATACATATATCGTTAGTATAGTACGGAAAGGGCGTATCTCACATCATCGCTGATATATAAAAAACCGTAACTAACTAAAAATCCAAAATCCTAATCTTATGCAATATAAAATTTTTCAGTTAGTCGTGGCTTTTTGTATACTAACGATATGCACAAAGGCAACCTAGCAAAGAATTTGTTCCTTTGCGTTATGGTAAACATTTTACCATTTTAAAAAAATCACAAACGATAATTCAAGCATCAAAGAATCAAAATCTCAGTTTCGTTGAAAGCAATTTAAAACTGGTTACTCGTTAATAAGTTCGAAACATACAAATAAAATCTAGAAAATATTCCCAGCTAGTAAACTGTGCCCCGTTTAAGTTGATACATATTTGTACATTTTGAAACTCCATAAACAAAATTATATAACGTGATCGCTAGTTTTACAACAGCCGATTTCTAATAAATCTAATGTAGAACCAGCTTTTATAGTACATGACTTGTGGAATTCACTGTAAATGGTATGCCCCAGGTATAAGCAGCAGTTAAAAGGGAAAACATAGAATCAGTTTTTCGTTTTTGTTTTAAAATTTCCAAAATAAAGTGTTTTTTTTGTTTTAAATTTCTTCTAATCGGTTACGAATTACATTTGTCAAGCAGCTTGGTATGCTTTTTTGTTGTTAAATAAAATGCCAAGCTTATAGTGGAGGAAACGGAAACACAAGCAAGTGGTAGCTAATCAACGGATAGTGCACACCGAGGACATTTAAATATTATACATATAAACAATACACTCTTCCAACGATATTTTGTGTTATACATACGGTGACCATAAATATGGATTCAAAATGAAGGACAATTTTTCAAAAATATGCTTACATATATTAACGTAGCATAAAAATATCAAAAGAGTATTTATGATTCTAATTTCTTAATACATTTTAAACTTTAAAAATGAATCACGTTTTCTTCATCGATATTAATCTTTTTTTCACATGAATATTTATAAAAGTATCGCACGACATATTACAATTACAATAGCTTACACGAAAAGTGAAAAGCTTTAAAATATTATTTTATAGGCAAATGTTGAGTCGTTCAAAACGGAAACAATAAATTTTTTTTCTTTTTTTGGTACTTTTCGCAGTTATTTGTCAAAAATCGACGTCAAGATTCGACGTAAACGACGAGTTACAAAGTTCCCTTTACAGGAATATATAATTTGTGCAGATTGCGCTCCATAGCATCTACATTTCTACATTTCTGTGGCTCAAAATTTACTGTAGTGATATATCTTCCTTATCGAATTTTTAAAATAATGGAAAAAAAATATTCAAATGAATCTGCGTATTTGATTGAAAAGCTCACTTTCCTCGACTGCGACGAAAAAATGCAAATGATAATGATAGCTTTCATTGCCACAAGTCATATATTTTAGTAAGAGGCACATCAATACCCTTCGAGTTGTAAGTTGCTTACGTTGATTGGGAGATTTTTTCATGAGATATTGAAGAAAAGCTACGAAAAGTACCAAAAATCACTTTTTTGAAAAAATTTATCCATTGTCCGATAATTTTAAAATAACGAATAAAATGTGGGACAAATGCAGGACACTTGGGCAAAATTCAGTACATTTTCAGGTTTTTCAGATTTGAAAAACTACGCAGGACCGCCCTTTGAAAAACAGTCCCAAGCTGGAAGCACAATTGGATCCATATCGAAAACTTGCAAAATTTCGGGCGGCACAAAAGATTTGTCGATCACAACTTCAAAACCGAATTCCTTGAACCATTCGGCAGTCATAACTAGATAACCTTTTTCACCACGGTCTTCACTCCAAGAATTTTCAACGCGCAATTTAGTAACATCGCCATTTGCATCCAGAGAAACGGCGGTGAATAACATGGCATGCGTCATGGCTGATTCACCGAAAATAAGGCGATCCAAATCTTCTATGCCCTGCTTTGATGCAAAGCGTTTACTGACTTCACAACCAAACCAAACGGCTTCACCGGCTTTTAAGCTTGCAACAACCAACTGCAGTAATTTCTCGACCTGTTGATTATTGTAAAGCACTGGGCGACCACCCACGACATTGCCGAGGCAATCAACTGTGTATGTTTGATCGTACATACTAGATGGGCGTGGATCATTTACTAAACATACCTTATGTTCCACATTAAATATTGGTTTTACATGATTTTCGTAGAACTCCAACGGCGTTATCGGTCCAATCGATTTATATGCTTTGGATTTGTCATAATACGCGCCGCTAAGTCATTCCAACTAAAGCTAGAATCTTGTCCTTCGGGACGCGCACAAGCAAGGTAGAAACGCCATATATCAGCAGGTATGCCAGTCCTGTGCATCATTACCGAATACGCCAATGTCACGACTTTTACAAATCATTTGCAAAATTGAAATTGTTGCTCGGAAATGACCAATGTGGAATACCGGCAACAGCCACGCTTAATTGTCGGATCTGAAAATGAAATGAATGAATTGAACAACACTAATAATTTAATAATCACAACAAACTTACCACGTGCCAAATCCAGAATGAAATTTTCAGTCATTCAGGAAGTTATTACTGTGTCAAAACTTTGACATACGGTATTAGCTCAACGTTTGACATATGTGATTGGGCGAATTGCGAGCCTTCATAAGAGTAGGGCAAGCAGCACCATCTGGTTGTCAGGTGCACAACTTGATAATAAACTGCGAGAAAAAAATTCATTTTGTGGTGCATGCAATACAGTGTTGCTAGGTGATTATATTGAGAAAGCGTCAGTTTGGTTATAAAAAAAAATGCCTTTTGCATGTAAAAATCGTCAACATGTAATAAAAATTTTTAATAAACTGAACCAGGAAGCCTTTGGATTTTTTTTCATTTATGCTAGCTTCTGATGCTGTATGTAAGAATAAAAAGTTTTTACGTTTTTTTTTTGTTACGAATTTAAAAATTCGCATTTCTTTAACAAAAATATTTTTAATTGGAATAAAATCACAGGTTTATCGTCTTTTTTTTTGTTCTCAAACTGCAACTTAACTATGTGCATTAAAAACTGTTCATACTCACTTAGTTTCGACCTGGCAACACTGATGTACTATTTACTGGCTTAGCCCGGTCTCGAACCCATAGTGAGGAAATTTTCTTTCGCCGTGCCAGGCCAAGTGGTGAAACTCACCACAAAACCACAAATGACACCTTTTACGAGATTACAAATTTCACGGTGTGTTCGGGGAAATAGTGATCGAAAAGTTTGTACTACATAAAGGTCTGTTCGATGCAAAAGCAAATGGCAACAAATGTAATGGAATAAAATCTTATAGCGATGGTCACCTTCCACAGATCTGTTTTAACCCAAATACGAAACCTTACGCTCAAAGTCATTGAAAATAAAGAAGACTTTAACCGCTTTTTAAATTGAAGCTTTTTTATAAAAACGCCACTTTCTGGAGCTTTGTAAGTCTATTTATTTTTTAAGAGTAAGACCATTAGTCTATACTTAATACCGCACAAGTACGCGGAGACTGAAAGTCTGAATTGGCCCAGTTTTGTTCTTCACCAAGTCAAAACAAATTAAATAAATAAACAAATAGTATATATATATATATATATATATGTACATAAGTATATCACACGTATATATAAAATGTGCTTTCACGAGACATACAGGCATACATATATTCGCCTCTTGCCACCCAACCCAAAACTAATAGTACGTAACTTTTTACACCTACGGACATAACTACGAGACTCATTTACAGAATGACTCGTTTCTCGGCTAATCGCGCACATGCGGAAGAACGCGCTGATAAATTCACGGTTCTATGCCGGCTATGCGGCGGAGCGCATGGCATTCGACTATGCCCCCTTTACCGCGGCAATGCGGTCGAAGCAATAAGCTGCATAAATATTGCCCAAACTGCCTCTCACCGTTCCACCGCCTCGACATGTGCAGCAGCACGAATCGATGCCACCGATGTCGCGAAAAGCATCACACCTCGCTCCATCTCGATGACTGCGAAGACCAGCGAACGCGATCAACGACGGCGAGAGCTCGGACGGGGCACTCTCTATCGACGTTACGGAGCAGACGAAGTCGTGGGCGCAGCAGGTCGAAGAGGAGGAGTTGGAGGGGTCAGAGAGGACAGACTCTTCCCCCCATGAGCGACAAAAGCGCAACTCTGGAACTGGCACACCGAGACCGTTAGACAAGTTAGAACCACGCGCGGGCGACGCGGAAACTCGTTCTTTCCGCTCGCCAACGCGTGCACAACACAACTGGCGCGACGCGGAAACTCGTCCTATCCGCTCGAAAACGCGTCAGCAATACAACCGACGCGACGCGGGAACTCGTCCTTTCCGCTCGCAAACGCGTCAACAACACAACGGGCGGCAACACGGCGGCGCGGAAACCAGTCCTTTCCGCCCGGCATCACGATCGCAACGCAAGCCAAAACGACACGACGGCGCGGAAACTCGTACTTTCCGCTCGTCTAAGCTATCGTCTAGGCTACGCAAAGCAGCACCATACCACAAAACTCGCACAAACGACAGCAACATCAATAGTCGTGCCTTACAACGCGCTCCACCGACCGGCTTCCGAACGGGCCGCCTAGTGCAAAGCGCCATATCAACGCCGATCATTCGTGCGCTTATCCCCATCGCGCCGACCGCAATAGTGCGGATTGAAGCAAGGGGCCGCCTTCATTTGGTTCGCGCAATGATTGACCCTTGCGCACCAAACTCATTGGTTGATTCGGAACTGGTGAGAGATCTCCAACTGGAACGCAACGGATCAGGACGTCTGCAGCGTTGCACGGTCACCATGCGAGGAAGATACAGCAGCTCCGACCGCATTACGACACAAGCAGTCGTAGAAACTCATACAATACGAATTCTAACTCTAATCTTAAAATAGTAATGTTTTCTGTCATATAAAAAACAATCAACATATCACTTTTTATTGAATTGTTAAAAAAAGAAGTTTTACAACAAAATTTTTTTTTTAAATATATTGTGCGTGAGCAGAAATTCGTAAAAAAATCTGCTCATACACATGTGCATTGCGATTAATAACCCTGCAGGGAAAGCTGCTAGTTGTGAACTAAATTACTACTAGCGACTGGTATTTTTAACATGGCGATGTCGTACGATTTGTCAATTGTCAGTCTATGCATCAGCATCTACTAGTAGAAATACTAGTAGCAGCATACCAGTAACAATGGCCGACAGAGCAGAGCACTGGCGTGGTAGTACTGGGGTCCGCGGTTCAATCGCTTGCACAGGTATTTCTTCCCATATGCAATGAAATTAGATTTTCAAATTTATAATTTATATTTAAATTGATATAATTATATTGACTTACATTGAATTAATTTTAAAAATCCTAACCGCCTCCGAGCGGACTCGAACCTGCGATCTCAGCACCAAATAGGGTTATAAGAAGAGCAATTAATTGCGTTATATATTTGGTGTTGGCAATTCAAAGGCACATGTCGCTGAACGCTGAAGTTCTTCGGAATTGTCAAACTGGTAGGCACATACTAGTTGATGAACTAGTATTTTTTCTAACGGGATTGGCTTTGCACTGCAGGGAACAAACAGTACACACTTTGCTGTGAGCAGAGTTTGTTTTCCACTTATGCACACATGTGTATGAGCAACGACTGCAAGTTGAATACGTTTCTGGCGCGTGTGTGAGTAGAGCATGTGTGTGCAAATACGAACCCTGTTTGATATATTATTCATTTGGATCGGTTAAGGAATTCTCCTGACATTAGAAATTTTTATGATCGATCTTTTTTCAACCAAATACGTTATGTGGCGCTATCTTAAAAACTAGACGTAGGAAATAAATTTTTTAATTTATGTTGGAAAGGAATTACAGTTGCTCTGCACGAAAATCACTGTCGACCAGTTTTATAGGCTACTGCAGCTCTCATGACCTCATTTGAAAGTTAGTTTTTTCCACGCATTGTTATATTTATTGAGTAATACATTTAAGGATTTTATATAAATTGATAAAATATAAACAACTACATTAAAACTTAAATTTGTATACAAAATCGTGGTTTATTAAAGTTACATACTTTGGATAAGGATTTGAAGTGTCAAATGCTCATGCCTTTGTATAAAACTTTTTCGAAGATTTTTTTTGCCATTTCCATTAATGTGTGAGCTGGTTCAAATGCCACACCATATAAACCTGCGTATCCTTCCATCTTTTTTACTAGTTTCGATGCCGAATAATGGTCGACCCAACGAAAAGGTCCTCCAGTAAAAGGAGGAAAGCCCAAACCAAATACAGCACCAACATCACCTTCCAAAGGATTATCCAAAATTCCTTCTTCTAGACATATAACAGCTTCATTTACAAATCGTGATACCATACGTAAAATCAAGTCTTCGGTTGAATTCGCTCCTTTTGAAGCCAGAGAGTATTTCTGCTTCACGATGCTAAGAGCGTCCATATTCACAGGGCGACTTCCTTTTCCTTTCGCACCATCATATATGAAAATGCCCTTTCCGGACTTTCTCCCTAAAAATCCTGAAAGAACTAAATCCTCCAGCAACATTACATTGCCTCCACTGAATCGATCTCCGAATGCCTGTGAAAAATAAATTATAAATGTTTCAATAAATCTAATAGAAAGCTTACTCTCGCCAGATCTACTGCAATGTGAGAGCCCACATCAATGCCGACCTCATCGAATAATGTTGCAGCGCCTACCGGAAATCCAAAACTTCTCGTTAACTTGTCCAGTTCGTATGGTTCTACTCCTTCTTGTAGAAGTCTAAAATGTAAAACATATAAAAATACATATACATGTAAAACATAGTAAAGTTTCAAATGGTCAGTTCTTGAATTTATGTATGCATGCATCCCCCTAATATGAATTTTGTTACGATGCACGATAAACGCTTGCATTGTGATGTACCCTATTACGAATCGATATTTGTCGTATGAAATCCGACAGTTAGCGTAGCTGATTTGTGTTGGTTGGCAATAAAACATGAACAAAAACCACAGCCATTCACAATAATACATATGTACGGCATATTATTTTATGATTAACCCCTACGGTTTCCCTCCTCCCGCCATCCGTATGACATACGAAACTTTATTATTCTCTTCAATTTTTATGCCGAGTCATGAGAGGCAGGACTTTGTTAAGTGCCGAGATCTAAAACTATTCAGCTACAGAACCCAATCCATCAGCTGATTATTATGTCTTTATGTTAGTCAATCATTTATTGAGAGAGAATATATATCAAATGTACTGGAATGAGAGTTAAAATCCTGGCATAAGCAACGAAGTGGCTCGTGTAATTCAATATTATTTTTACAAGTTTTCGAAAATAGGGGAGAAAAGTGTCTTGATACACGAGAGGGAACATTAAGGCTAACTTCAGCCAGAAGAAGCGGACTTGAAATTGAGCCTGTCAGTAATTTAACCATAGTCAGTAATTTAACCATAAAAATTGTACCAAGCAGGGCCGGCCACAAGGGGAGACTTTTGTGGGGTTAAACCCCCCTGTTGGAGGGAAATATACATACAAATTTCCCATCATCTATATATAAAAAACAAAGTCGTGTTAGTTACACCATTTATAACTCAAGAACGGCTGGACCGATTTTTATGATATTTGTTTTTTGAATTTGTCTACCTTCCGAATAGCAGAATAACTATTAAAACAACCGCTAGGTGGCGCTGGCGAGTTATTAGTAGAACCCGTATTTATGGTCCGATTAGCTGTGTATTGACAATGGAAAAAACAATACCACTGCAAAAAAAAAGAGACGCCAGGTGCCGTTGGAGTCGAGTTATTTCTAAAAAACGTGTTAATGGTCCGATTATCCTTAGGTTCCAAATATGTATTGATAACAGGAAAAATAATTCTTTCGAAAAAAATTTGCCGCCAGGTGGCGCTGAAATTGAGTTACATATGTATATGTAGCTAAAAATCGTATTTATGCTTGAATTTATTTCATTATCGAAATATATATATTCACATACCAAATCCCTTATTACTGTTAAGAAACTCATGTCTCTAATCCTTGGCTAACCCATGTCTAGTCCCAACTAAAGTTGTAAAGATTATACATGAATAAGACAATAATTAAAGACACGAGCCACTTAACAATAGTACGAGTTTTTTTATTCTTTGAATTTTGAATTGTGTCGTTATTGTAGAGGACCATCGATATATTTATGACAGGAAAAGATACATATGTATGTACACTTTTGCAAAAAACTTCAGTCAGAAACCGCTATTGACGAACAGCTGTTCCTTATCTATATGTATATATAAAAATGGTGTGAAAATCTTATAGTAATTCATCAATTGAGAACGGTTGAGCCGATTTGGCTAAATTTTTTTGTTTGGTTGTTCGTAATTGCCAGGAGAAGGTTTTTACGAAAGAAAATTTTGGGAAAACCCTCCGGGAAAGTCGGGAAATCAGAGAAATCGAAAATTTATTTTTTTTGTATGCAATTTTTTGTGCAATTCTTTCGGAATGGCTTTCTAATGGCAAAATAGAAAATTCTAAGTGAAAACCTTGGAAAAATCCGGAATAACGCGAAAAATTTTAACTTTTTTCGACGAAATTTTGCATTTTATCGCTTGATTTTGATGATGTGAAGCTTGGAAAATTTAGGATAATTGTGAAACTCATTGTTAGCATAATCAATTGGGACCAATTTTATCCTATGTTTCATAACCGATTCGAATGGTTGCTGCTTTTTTGGCAAGGTGTTTAGAAGAAGGAGTGCGCAAAGTTTCAATTTTTCCGATAGGTGGTGCAGGAGTCGTGCTACGCTAAAACAACAATCCATTTGTCACGTAGGTAGCCCTTTGCCTAGATGGGCATATAAGTAGGATCAATTTTGATTTGCTTGAAATTCGGCACGTAGGTAGCTTATTGCCACGATTAACATAAATGATATTTTTTCTGATAAATGGACCAACCAGATACCGATATATTGGTGTTAGCTGAGTGGGAGCGGGAGACCAGGTTTAAATGTGTGGTCGAGTTAGAGTAGTAGAGGAGGTAGGGAATACCTTTGCGAGTGTTTATGTATCGAGCTCAATATGCCCGTAAGGTGTATAGGTGCACATCAAGGCAACCACGAACTCCATATGCCTGCTATGCGAGAGAGAGAGAGTGAGATGAAGCGGTAGCGCAAGCTATGATCCTTTTACCATGTATCTACATATATGCGTAGAATATATTGTTTTACAGTTCGAAAGGTTTTTGAAAGCGCCGCAAACATGCGGGTATTCGCTATTTAATGGGGAAAAAATTGATGCAGCAAATGTTAACGCTATTTTTGACAGATTGTTTGTGCTGATTACGAATCCGTAAGCATAAAGTTTCCATCAGCTCCAGATATTAAGAACAACGAGGTGGAAGTGTCAAAAAATCGCGTTTTTTGCAATATTTGATAAGCCCTAGTCAAGAAACAAAGGGTGGTAGAACCTTCCACTTAGGCTTAAATTAGAACTAAAAATCTCGACTACGATCCCTGTAAATTCCTGTACCTTTGCTTGATGGTCACTTATAGTAATTTGGTGAACAGGAGAAACTGATTACCCCAATTAAGCAAAATTTGGTAGAACCTTCCACTTAGGCTTAAATTAAGGCTTGGACTTCTGACTTCAATCCCTGAAAATACCATTCCTACACCTTGACCCTAAGGTTACCTATAGTCATTTATTGAACAGCTAACACTGATTTTTACACTTTTACCGCATGAATTCAAATCCGCATAAAAATAAACCGCAGACCTAAGTGTAAATTCTAAATTTATAAGATTTTAATTAAAATATTTAAGATACTGCTTTAATACTTATGCATCTGCAGAATTGTTTTATGTTGAACTTTGAAGCTAAAATAAAAGACCTATTTGCGAGCTAATATTGATGGACAGACAACTTTACCGATTGATTTACAATTATCTCAACAAAAGCTCGATTTTATAGAAAAAAGCAAATCACTTTTAGTTCCTATAATCGAGCCGGTCATTCTGTGTGGTCGTCAGGGTTTGGCATTGCGTGAATCTTAAGAGAGAAGCAAAATTTCATCAGAAGAACCTGCAACTAACGATGGAAACTTTCGTGCGCTTTTAAGATATCGAGCTAAAGGTGACATTGAATTGAAACAACAATTAGAACATTCATCGAAAAGTGCTATCTACACGAGCCATCGCTTTCAAAATGAATTGATTGGAACTTGTCACACTTTAATCCAGCAACAAATTGTTGATCGAGTCAACAAATCAAAGGCTTTTTCCATATTAGGAGACGAGACTTCGGACATTTCAGTCATTGAATAAATTTCTATATGCACCTAACGCACCAAGACTTATAAAATTTGCGAAGATTTCAGTACATTCACTCCCGTCAGCGATTTTACTGGTGCAGGATTAGCTAATACTTTACAGAATTTTCTCGAATCTTCTGGCATTGACTTTACGCCAAACAAGGTGTGTGAATTATATGAACGTTATCAACTTTGTGCCGCCTAAAAACTTATTTAAACTATACTATGAAAAAACTATGAAAGAGGATCTTCTCAATGGGCTAGCTTTTCTCAATATTCATCGCAATCTGGATGTTAATGCTGACTTAGTATTAAAGGAATTTTTATCTGTACCTCAACGAATTGCATTATTGAAAGCAGAATTATTTAGTAAATAACGAATCATGTGCCTTTTCTTTGAGTTGTGCTGAATTATATCAACAATTATTTAAATACAATATGCTGAATACTTTAAATAAACGGTATGCCGGGGTGGACCACCCCTTCCGAGCATACTCGTGGGAACAAACAACAATGAACAAAAACAATAATAAAAACAAAAAACAAAACACAAACACAAAATTCGAAGAGAGGAGAGATGTCTCGGAAGACATCCTGGGCGCAGAGGAGGACGTGCTCCTCGCTTCCAGTCAGGACTCTGCACGCTCTTCGACAACAATACCGGTGAGCGCTAAGCCTAGCGATCCCGACAATACCCCATCTTCCTCAAAGGCAGCGTTGAGTGCTCCAGGGAGCACTCCAAAGCAAGAAAGGGGGAAAACCAAGTCCTCGGGGTGGCGCTCAGGTCGAGGTACAACAGGGCTGTCGTCATTCTTGACAAGATTGCCAAGAATGCAGCGGCCGGTACTGTACACCCCAAGGATGAAGAAGACAGTCGCAGGTGCAATGAAGTGGTGGAGGAGTACAGGAGGTACCTTACTTCAAAACCAACCAAGAAGCCTGTGGCAGTCAAACGAAGTAGACCTAAGGAGGAGTCTACAACAGAACCAGCTGGAAAAAGGGCGGACACAAAAAGCACGCCCCAGCAAGAAGAAACGTTGGCGAAACGACGGTACTGTGAGGTGGCCAGGGATCACCTTCAGGTCGCGCTTGTCGACGAAGCCACAGGCAGCGGTAAGCCCGTTCAGGAGAGGTGGGTCGAGATCGAGTCAAAACTCTCTGAACGGGTGGGCGACTACCTGTTTGAAAATCCGGACAACCCTATTCCAGGATTTGACTCCAGTGAGTCCCTGAGGGGTTGCCGGATTTTCAAATGTAGAGATGAGTTCTCTAGGGAATTCCTCGGCAAGTGCGTAGCCGAGCTCGGCAACGCCTGGGAGGGTTTGAAGTTCAAACTAATCCCTGCCGAGGAGGTACCTAGAAAACCCAGGGCCCGCATTTGGCTGCCGAAGATGGCTATGGATAGCGACAAATTGATCCGCTTCCTGCAACGGCAGAATCCAGAAATACCCATGAGTGACTGGGTAGTCATTCGTGCAGAAAAGGCGCGCAGAGTTCTTCGTACCTTCTGAGGCTTAACGAAGAAAGTATTGGGTCATTGCGAAAAATGGACAACAAGCTGCTCTTCGGGGTGAGAACAGCGAAACTAAAAATATTCCGCTCCAATGAGCCGATTCCAG